GATATAAGAAATAACAATGAATAAAAAAAAATTTAAAAACACTTTTTTAACTTCCAAGCTTAACATTAATTGTGCTAAAACGCGAATGTGAAAAATAAACATACAAACAATTTGTGTTCTAGTTTCTACGACAACGCCACGCCACGGTGAAAATTCAGTGGGAAAGCGAGAGAGGATGTCAACTCTTTCGGCAGCACTGGTTTAGAATTTGAACCACATATGTTTGAGGTGTAGCGCGAAGGTGGTACATTTTTTAAACTGCAAATATTTTCCTCTATTCTACGCGGAGCAAAGATTTAAAATATATACATATATAATTTGTATATATTATTTTTTATTTATTTTATATATTTTTTATTTTTTTTTATTTTTTAATATATTATTTTTTATTAATTTTTTTATTTAATTTTTTTAAAGTTTTAATTCATATTCAATAAATTTTTATTGTTAAAAACAACAACCAAAAATAAATTTTCTTTGGCACTTAAGGGGCTTAAAGACTTAAAATTTTCGCCGCCCAAGGAGTTAATACACGTATGCAGTATTTATGAAAATATTTTTGTGTGTGGTTTTTTTGTCATCATACGCACCAATGCCAGTTGTTAAAAAAAGGAAAACGACAACAAAATAATTATTAGCCCTTGTGATGCGAAATCTTCTAACTAAAGTTGACAATAGTGTCAAAAGTTGAATGAAAAATACACACACACCCACAGGTGAATAGCAAAAAGTGAATGGTTAATATATGGATGCCGTCAACGCAAAAACAGCTAATAGCAAATTTGTTCAACTACATACATACATACATACCTTCATGCATACATACATATGTATGCTAAAGCCCATAAATCGGCTTCATAGGGGATTTTTCCAGGCGATATCTAATGGAAATACCCCTAGCAAATAACCTCCTCCCTGGCTAATAACTGCTATACCACACTCCATACTACATATCAATTTATGTACGTATATACATATGTACATGAAAATGTATGTATTTATTTTTTTTTTTTTGTTGAAAGAAAAAACTAACATTTTCTATCTTTCTTTTCAAACGAAAATATCAGCAACAGCAGCGGCTCATTCGTCACACAACAGCGCCTATGTTGAGTGTTATATACATATATATATATTTTTTTTTTGCTTCGCCTACATTTAACTAACAACCAAAAAGTAGACATCGCTGGCGCAACATACAATTGCTTAAACAATTTTTTGTTGTTAGAATTTTGTTGTGGGTTGACACAGTCTAATGCGACAAATTTTGGGGTGGAAAACTGCAATGCTGGCCTAATATCGATTTTCCTCAAAAAGCTTGCGAATTTCAAACGTACACATACATATGTATGTACATATGTTTGTGCATATGTAGTTAGATAAAGTCTGTATCTGTTAAAAACGTATAGCGGCGAGTGGAGTGAGTGACCGACCAACAGAAAGTTTGGAGAATTTGTGTACCTGCAAAGTTAGCCATACAGACATTGGGTGGTGGTATAGAGAAAATTAAATTGAAGTATACATATGTATATACACTGCACATAGGCTGAGTAGCTGACAAACAGGTGTTGGTATTGCGCTAGGACATGCATTTCTAGCATGCGTGTATGCATGTTTGTATGTTCCAGTATGAGTATGCGCAGCAAATTGTACTGAAGGACGCTCCAAGTGTTAAAGCATGATAAATTATATTCATAGCAGAAGGTTGGCATACGCAAAGAGAGTTTGAAATAGGCATATATGTATGTACATACATAAATACAACATATGGCGTCGCGACGTGTCGTGTCGTTAAATCTACATAAATACAGACACAAAGAGTAATAAAAATTCGTAAACCTTTTTGCCGAAGTTATACTTTACTATCAACCATTTTGTAATAAATGCTAAATAAATTAAAAGAATGCTAAAGAAATCAACTCACTTTTCCGTTTAATAATAATTAAAAGGAAAGGAAGCTAAAAATATTAACAATAAACGTTTAGAACTCAGATAAGCAATTTAAATATAGATTCGGGCTGAGCTGTGAGGCCGCGAAAGAGGACAGTAAGCGATATGAGCTGTAATATCGGTAATGAGTGTTACTTACACAGCCAACGAACAGTACAATTTCAAATTTTCAGTGCAAATTTTCGATGCCAACAAGCATTAATCTTTTCTCAAAAATGTAGAGCAGTAGCGCTTGAACTAGATCAATTAGCGCGCCCTGGATAAGGTGTTAAATTATTAAGTAAATATCTCAGCTAGTCTAAGGTACTTTCTGGGCATGTTTCAGCAAAACAAATTTCGAAATAAAAAATAAAAATAATAAAAAAATAATAATTTAAGACAAAGTTCGATTGATGCTTAAGTGAATCTTCTTGCTATTCTCCTTCAAAAGTTTGACGCTCGTTGCTTGAGTTTTATTAGGGAAATTACGCCTAAAATTGTAGTTGGTTGACAAATGAAAAATTGGTAAAAGCGGAAAAACGCAATGTGTAGACTACTGACTTTGAACGCCGGAGTTGCTGGTAAAGTTGAGTAAAGTGAACTTGATGAAGAAGTCTAATGAGGAGATGTGGTGATCTCCGAAATAGCACCTGTAACTTCTACCATATGTGGATTTTCCACAACAATTTTCCTTAAAAACGACCTCAAGCTCAATAAAATTGTTGAAAAAAATTTCAAAAGGAACAATACAATGAGAGATGATTCTAATCTGAAAAAGCTGTATGAATGTACGGAATACGTTTACTATGTGTTATTTGTAAATCAAACAATTTTTAAGCGACTTGAAGAAGGATATTCAATTCGTATGAATATTTTTGTATTTTTTTTTGTATTTTAATAAAAAGATGTATGTTTTCGGATAACTTTGGGCCACGTGACCCGTTTTCGATAATTCTTCTCTTATGAAAGATGGCATCCTAGTTGGTTAGTTGTAGCAGCATACCAATTTCCCAAAGTGTTTTTGGGGAATGATACTGGAGTGACAGTCGTTGGTCAGATATGAATTTGGGTCGTTGAGGTTACGCAGACCCGACTGGGGTGGGAATGTGGTTCCAACCTGATTTGGTTTAGTTCCGATTGTTGGATAACTACCATCCTTTTTTATTGCTTGAAAATCAAATAAGTAGCTTAATGTCTAATGTAGTTCGCTGGCTGTATGCAATTATTTTTCGCAAATATTTTTACATATTTCAAAAACCGCAAAATCTTGTGGGTATTCAATGTGATTTTTTTAATTTAATTAGTATACAGCTGCCAGAAAATTGTGATTATTTACTGTAAGACAGACTCATAAGACACTGACCGAGTTTTACATCGATTTTTTCCTCCTATAGGAAAAGCTGCTTAGCCTCAAATGCGACTAATTAAGAGACTGACCAACTTTTTCACTAAAAAATTAAAAAAAAAACATTGATATTTGGGCATCGAGTATACATATTTCTATAACAGTTAAGAGCGTTTCAGACACGGCAATATTTCCAACTTTTCCATGCAATTCGCTGTCAAATTGAGAAATTATATTTCCAAGTGGGTGCAGCCAGAAAGATCTATTTTCCCCTTTTCGGCAGTCAGGTTCAGAAATACATAAAAGTTGCCCAGTATGACTGCAACTGAAAGAGCGCAAATCGATTTCGAAAATACATATATTTCAACTTGCTCGTGCTGCACTAGCAATTTATTATGTTTGCTGCAAGTTACGGCAAATCATTCGAGTGTTGCCGTGTGACACTGATCGCTAATTTGTGAGAGACAGTAAAGTATAATTTTGAGTAAAATATCAAAAATGGTTTTAACTAATTGAATCGGTGAGTTCGGCGGCCGTACAAGTTCAAAATTAGTTATTCATTGTTGAGATCAAAAACATTACAAATAACAGACAATCAACATCGAAAAACTGATTTTGTACCTTTACGGTTGTCGAACTCACCGACTCAATTGTTTTTCGGAATTTAATTGTTAAGTTGAACCGAAAATAAAGTTAATTACAACCAATAGAAACAACAAAGAACAGGTAACGCGGCTCATTTTAGTATCGATAAAGATTGCCAGAAATTCATTTGCTGTGTGAACATGCATTGTCTCTGCAAGAAAGAGTTTATTGTGTGGCTGCTTGTTGAGATTTCTCAATTTGACAGCCTTTTCGAAATATATTACATTGCCCTTTAGTAAAAATTAGTCCTAGTATTTAGGGGTGTTTGGTTGAGTATTGAAAAATGTATGGAAAGAACGACTCAAACAAAGCGATTAATGATAAGCTGATTTAGATTCTGAAGGTTGCGACGACCAGCTCTGGATTGTGAAGAAAATATAAAAAAGAATTACATCGAATATGTTCCGAGACTGGTTCCAAAGGTTTACAAAACCTATCTGAGCTAGCAGCGTCTTCCATGATCACTCCACTCCTATCACATTGCTTTAATGAAACTCATTGCACTTATTTTTAGCACAAACAAGCCGGGACTATTCCCTGCCCAAACATGAAAAGGTTAATTGGGTTGCATTAGTTGCTCTCGTTTAAGACATTACGATTAAGGTATTACGATAACATCAACATATAAAAACAAGCTATTTTAAACTTTAATGTTATGCAATTGACGTGTGTGGAAAATAAATGTTAAGCCTTGCCTTGTCATCGAAGAGACGATTAAAATAAATACACGTTAAGTTTTAAATTAAAGCAAGGGAATCGGCTAAAACGAAACACTCAAAAGCACATTAATTGCAAACTTTACAGTCCATGCACACCACCAACAACGCCATTGACGACATACATACGTATGTATGTACACACTTATGTACATGAATTTACAATTAACGCCTTCGAATTCGACACTGCTTTCGAATTGACTCTTCTTAGCTGATTAATTAAAGAATTTCGCACTTTTTCACATTTCAAATACTAATTTTCGTTGAAATTTGTTTATCTTGCACTTTTTTCTATAGCTGTTTTTCAGCAAGTTTTTTCTGCTTTTAAACTTTTTTCTCTCCCCATCCTTCCCTTATCCCATATTCACCTGCGAGCGTTCATAGCCATCGGGATTCATGGTGGGCATCAAATAAATATCGGTGCTGTTGACCAGGTTCGCCACCTCCAAGCTGGTCTCATAGTTGTACAGCAGGTACTGCGCCAAATAGATGAGCAGCTGGCGGCCAATTGTCTCGTCGCCATGCATATTGCCAATGTACTTGACCATGGGCGTGAGTGGCGTGCGTGGCTGTTGCACATTCTTGCCAATCTGCAGCACGATTAAGTTGCGACCCTCTAGCGAACGGCCTATGGTCTCGACACGCGCATTCTCCGGGAATGTCTTGGCGAAACGTGCAAACATGTCCTCGATTTCGCTCTGCGATTGATAGTAGGGCGACTGCAGGAAGGACTCATCCTCCTTGATGATGAAGGCCTGCGTGATGGCGCCGAACATCAGCGCGACAAGCGTGCAGGCGAGCAGCAACAGCTGTGGCTGGTGGAGGCGGTGGTGCCGATGCTGTGAATGACGGCAGCTGATGCGACGTGTGAACATCTTGACGTGCAGTTGACAAGTGGCAAGTGACAGAAGTAGCGCTGTGGCGGAGAGGTGTTTTTTTCGCTAAATTTGGTTGCTATTTTCTACTTGCTACGCTAAGCTGCGAGGCGCAAGTTTGCACTGGTACGGCTTTTGGCCAAGCTTTGTCTGTTTAGCAATTGAGAGGTTCGACGTCGGTCGTTGATTTCCGCTTGTCGGCTATCTGGTGTACAACGCAAACTGGAGCGCGTGGGCGTCTACTTGGATGCGCGTGTGCCGTGGGCGGCCGAGTGCGGGTGGGCGGTCAGGCGCTGCCTTTCCTGTTCGATTTTCGGTGTGTCTATTTTTGGATATATTTTTGTATGCGTTCAATGAGCCTGTAGCACTGTTGCGCCGGGGTTGTTCCTTACTTTCCTTTTGTGCTTCGCTTATTAGAATATGTTTTCTTAAAACTTGCACCCTGTCTGTTGCTAAGCTCCTTGTTATACTGAAAATGAAATACGCCTCCGCCTGCAGACCAATCTAACGATACTTCAAGCACTACGTTGCAGCTCTCGACGGTTCTGCTTAACCGCTGCTGCTCCCCGCTGCCGCCTTGCACTACTTTGCAAGCGCTTGCAATAAGCTTTTTGTTATCAGCAGACACCAAGCAAGCAGATAAGCAGGAAAAAAGTTAAAAAATCTGCGAGAATTTAAATTTTTTTATAGTAGCCACCACTTCCGATGCCAACCTCACTGCAGGAGTAAAACTTCCTTCCTTCGACTTTCCTTTTTGCACACGATTTGTTGTTTTTGCCCTCGTTTCAGTTTTTAATTTTTTTTTTTGTTTTAATTTTTTTTTATTTTCCTTCCTTTAAACACTGCCACCAACAATTAGTAGAGTGAAGGGAGGGTGAATAAAAATTGTTCTATCGTCCACAAAGCTTTTAACACTGCTCTATCACTGCATTGCTCGCCGCTCGTTTTGCACAAACTGAATGAAATCCAATGACTCGCTGCTGATTTATGCCGTAAACTGTGTGAATCGCGCTTGTCGGTGGCGGCAACGACAGTGTCATCGCCTCAACGCCGCGGCAAAAGTCATCACCCAAGAAGTACTTCGCCGCCGCTGCGCGATTCGTCGATGAGAGTGAGAGTGAGTACGCGCGCTCTTGTTGGGGAATTCGCGGTTCCACAAGACTTGGACACACCTCGTTGTTGCATTCGTTTCCGAAAATTGTGAGAAATGCAGAAATGAATCGAAATAATGTAACTGGTTATATGTATATATGTATGTAAAAATGTTAGCTATCAGCGCACAACGCTTGCTACACTTTAATCGAGTGGGAAGTGCCGACTTGGGTAACGCTCGTATTAAGGCGCTATTAGTCAACGACGTAGTGTAAACGTACGTAACAACATATCAAATTTAGTGTTGATAGAGAGAAAGAGATAAGCAAAGTCAACGTCACGTTAGGGCACGGACCTTACCACTTTATTGGTAGACCACCAACTTTTAAACTCTATTTTATTTTTCACCATTTTAATCAACAAAGGCTAAAAATCTACCAACATTTTTCGGAAAGAAAGCAAAAAGATTTAAATGAACGCAGTGGCTACATATTTTGTCATCGAACACACCTAAAATAAATATGAAAAAATAACTCTGACCATCATGACCAATTTAAAAGTGAAATTACGTCTCTATCAGCTGTTTATGGAAATATTTTTCGCTTGCAATACGTTTGGGTGGGAGAATTCCAAATGAATTGGTTGAAAATTTCAAGCATTTCAAAACTAATTTTAATCAAACAGTTTTTTAGTGCAGAATAATTGTTTTTTGTTTTTGTAATGTAGAATCAAGGCATGGGTAATCGAATCAAATTCGAATCGAAATTTCTTTTTGAGATTATGGCATTTGGTAGCGAGTTCGCATTTTCAACTTAAAATGTATTTAAGACAGCGATGGGCAGAGAGAGCTTTTACTCTGCATGCGCCTATACAGAATGTATAGAAAGCTTAAAAGAGCTTTGCCCGCGGGCAAGGCAGTGCCTATAAGTGATTTAAGATAAACAGCAGTCATTTTATTTCATTCGATTCGAATCGTATTTCATTCGATCACGGATGCTATGATTCCAGCCCAGTATACGTTTTTTCTTGAATGTTTTATTGGAGTAAAATACATTTTTTGTTGTTTTATAAAAAGATACAATATATTCCAAGGCGAATTCATATAAGGTGACAGCAGAAGTTCAAAAACAACAAGAATTACAACAAATACATCATTTTGACAATAAGATATTCAATAAGGATTTTCACCTCGGTGTTTAATCCATCTACTCTGATAACACTCCCTTACCTGAATTCGCCTTCATTTATCCTATATGAGTAAAAACTATCTAATATTATTTCTTTTAAAAAATCTACCAACTTCTAACAATTTTTTTATGTAAAATCTACCACTTTTAATCTTTTCTAAGTCAGTGCACTGGTCACCGTCATGCGGCGGTGAGTTTTCGTAAACACGTAAACACGCAAATCTCATAAGAAAGATTGTGTCAGCGTCAACGTACGTTTACGCTACGTCGTTGACGAATTGCGCCTTTACTGTTTGGTGTTACATACTTTTTAGAGCGCATGGTAATGACGTCACGCCCCTGGTTCCAACCACTGCAGCATTCGTTATTTTTCCGCGTTCTTTTGGGCTCAGCTTTTCTCCGAGTATCTCGCCACCTTTCGCTTTGGAGTTTTCGGACGCCAGTCTCGCGGTTGGCATAAGCTCTCACTATACTCTCGCGTACTAATATACCCACTCTCTGTTTATTTACTACATCAACTCAAGTAAACAAATATGTACCTATTACTGTCATTATCGACTTATCAACACTCGTTTGGTGTTGTTTAGTCGTTATTGCTATTGTTGCCTTATCAGGTTACAACTGGTTTGATTATCCGCTTTTTCGGTATGAAAAAAAAATGCTAATCGAAAATATTGTAAACTATAAACATAATCATGTTACGTATGTATGCATGTACAAATGTATGTGCCAATTTGGTGTTTTATGCATGGAATGAAACAGTTTGCACGCTGATTAAAAAAGTATTTATTTTTAAGCCATACAGCAATAAAGATAATTTTTGGGTTTTTTTGTGCCAGAAATGCGGTGCCTTAAATTTTAACTATTTTCTTAGTTAAAAGCTCCAAAATTAAAGCATAAAAATCTCAAAAAAAACCCACGCTATAAAGTGACCATTGAAAACTTAAGGCTTTCACAGTAAAACCAAAAAGCACCCAAGAATGATAGAATACAAGATTGCGCCGATCAGAGAGGATTTTCGAGAATAACTTTTGTGTGACGTCACACTGGTGCAATTGCGAGAGAGAAATGCCAAAACGTGAGCAAGAATGGAAGAAGAAGAAAAAATGTTGCAAGGAAAACGTAAACAAGTTGCACAAGTGTGACGTCATGCAAACCACGATTCTGTCAAATTCGTTAAGAGAGGAATAGCGGTCCGAGATCGGCGCAACCTTTGTATTCTCTCAATCGTGAAAAGCACCTACATTATAGCTTTCATTGTAAACGTATTAAAAATTAATAAATTTTGAATATACGACTGAGTACCAAAACTAGAGCAGAATTGGTCATTACGTAAAAATTTTTAAAACTTTAGAATAGAGAAAATAAAATAAAGCAAGACAAGCTCTCAAACTAATTATTTCATATGAAAACTGGAGAGTTATGTATGTAGATACTATGTATATGTATTGTGATATAAAAATTGTCGCATAGATATGAAAAATACATAAAATACTTTGAAAGGATAAGAAAACTTAAAGCTTATTTTTCCAATTTTAAAAGTGAAGTTTTTTATGCTACGTTGAGGGTTAAGTTTCTCCGCAACTTTTAAATTTTATCTGTCTTTTAAACACAATTCTTGTTCTGAAAAAATATGTTTGAAGGACTGATAAATTTTAAAAGCTACTCGAGAAAACGGCTCTAAAATTTTAGAATTCGCATAAAACAATAAAAATCTGGGAGTTCGCCTTCAAAGTTGCCTCAGATTAAGCTTATACAAGCAACATTCAGTTTTTTAACGACTCACAAATTCTAGCCTTCCTTTAAATTATTAATCTTATCGCCAGTTTCACCAATCAATTTTAAAATTGTGTCATTTTAAAGCTTGACAGGCTGAAAAATTTAAAACTGATTTGTGCATTAGAGCTTTAAATTTAAAATATCCATAATTAAGCTTAACAAATTCTACAAATTTAAATACATATGTACATAATTCGAATTGAGGCTTTAAAATGTTTAAAGCTTGACAAAATAAATCTCCAGCGTTCAGAAAAGTATGCAAATTTGTGAAAAAATCAAAAAAAAAAATAATTAAAAAAATGTAATGTGGTTTAAAAGTTGTCAAAAAACTTAGAATGGAAACATTAACTTTTTGCCAAAATTGCAATTTTCTATTTATTGGCCTAATAACAAAAACGGCCTCAAGCTCAATAAAATTGTTGAACAAATGTGTAAAATTTAAAAAAATTTGATTGATATTTTTTTCAAAATTTTTAAATATAACACATATACTATATATGCAGTATAATTTACTATTATTACAGTAACGTTTATTGGGCTGTTTAAGCATAATATAAAAAGGCATGTTAATCGAACACAGAACTGCCCATAGCTCACCGCTTTAGCTTACTAAAAAATATTGCATGTGTGTGTGAAGCGAAAAAGCGAAAACAGTACAATAAATCACGTAGCAAAAGCTGAGCTTTAATTTGACGAAGGGAGAAAGAGATAGAGCGCACAAAGAGAGCAATACGCAGAGCGTGGGGAGCACAGAATTTCAGAGGGCGCATTAGTGGCGTCCAGTGATGCCAGACATTCTCTGTTAATTACCTACGAAAATCGGGAAAAATCCCTCAATTACCCACATTTTAAATAAAATAATACCACGAAATTTCTTTAGGATTCAAAACATATATGTCAGTAGTAAAGGGATAGCATTCTTATTACTCATAACTCATTTTCTTTCGAAATTCAGCTTTGTATAAAGTACGGTAGATTACTTAGTATAATTTAAAAATAACTACTACATCAACAAATTAGTTTCAGTGTTTATTAGAACCCAGGATTTTGAACTTTAGTTTTTATAAAGTTTTGTAATTACTCTATTGAAAGCATTACTCATTTTCTTCCATATACCATAGCCTCGAATTTGTTTTATTTGGAACAAAATTAGCAACATCTTCAACGAAAAGAATTCTCAAAAATAAACACAATTTATCCTAAAATAAGTATGTAATAGGCTTAGGAACTAAATGAACTTGAGAACTAGTTCATCTCAATGAACTAGCCTGCTAGCTCGGTGTTTTCATTGAACTAAATTTGTCGGTGCTACTATTTCTCATTTTGTATTTTATTTATACGAAAACTCTGCAAAAGATTGATGTTTAAGTTAAATAAGCTACGTACTTACGCATGTTACTAAATATTTTTGTGTAATAGCAATAATGCTAAGAAGATTGCCATTACTGCAAATGCAGCCCTCGTTTAAAAAAGGGTTAATAATTTGCATATCGTTGATGACTTTGCAAAAGCGACCATCGACCAATTGCAAAACCGCCTTTCTTGCGGCAGTCAAATTTTACAGAAGATCGAAAACCCCGTCTTTCTTCGATGGCATTGACACAGGCGGTTTTTCTCTAGCTAATATTTAACAAATCAGTTCTTTTAATAATACAAATCAGTTCTTTTAATAACGATTTTACGACTTTTATG